GTAACATTTTCAAATACAAGGATTTTGTGGTATTGAAATGAGGATATAATTTATTTAGAACTTGTGTAAGACTCTTGAATCCAAGGAATTTTACAGGTAACTAGTTTATGATTTGAGCGGCAGTTAAAATGGCTTCCCACCAATATTATTTTGGCACATTTATATGGAAAGGAGAGCCCTTATTTTAGGAATAGGTGTTTGTTCTTTCATTTATCCACTTTATTTTTATTTGTGTATATGTAGAAGAGCATTCATGTATTATTTCTTTTCTTTTAAGTATGAGTAGAGAGAGTGGTTAAAGTAGTCATTCATATTATTGGATCTGATTATTTTAATTCTAACTCCAAAATTAATTTTTATTCTTGTTGAAAAAAGATGTTGCTTGCATCACTTTTGGTTTTAGTAAAAAAAAGCATGATATATGAGTGCAATCATCGATAAAAGAGAAACCACCATGCCCATAGATGTTTGGTGTAGAGGATGGTACCCATATGTCATTATTAATGGGAGAAAAAGAAATAATAGTTTTTATGCTATTTACTGAAAAATTGGGATGTTTGTATTTTGCTGATTCACAAATATCACGATGAAATTCTCCAACATTAATTTCTTTGAATAATGAAGAGAACATATTTTAGATAATAATATTTTTCTCCAATATTAATTTCATATTATTGGTGGCTAAGGTGCATGTTGAAGCAAATAATTTTCTTCGTTGGATTGAAGATTTTCTTGAGAGTAGATAATGGTGATGGTTATATGGAGTTTTCTTGTTATTGGATTCCTTAAGGTGGTAGAAATCATACCACTATTTAGCAAGCCCCATTGTCCTCATTGAAATACACCATGTGAATGATTAAACAATAAAACATTAAGTCAATAACTACAAAGGAGACTTTAGTTAACTTTTGAATGGATAACAAATTGGTAATTAGAGCACATTTTGGAGTGTGAGAAATTTGCTTCTAAGCATCTTCTTGATTGCCATGATTATTTTTTTGTTGCTAGTATAAGGGGTATATGAAATAAATTTGTATGAGTTGGTCGTATAATTTGTAGCTCCTTAATAAATGATTGAGAAGTTGGAAATGGACTTCTTTGAGACATGAAAGGTATGCGACGAAGAGGTAATACTTGAGAATGATAGAAGTATTTATTTCTGATGTTTGTTCAGATGTTCCTACAAATTCCATTTTTAACTGTTATATAAAATTCCCAATTTTTTCCCTTTCAAGAACTTATGAACTAATCACGTCCACTTTAGATAATTCTTTTGGTTCAACCGATATGTTGAATAAATGTTTTGCAACTCTTCTTTTTTATTTCAATTGCATCCCTCAATTTCAACAGAAATTGAAATCAAGGTTGTGCGAGTATTATTATTGTCATCCATCATGGAGAGTGAAAATTTGTTTTTGTTTACATTGAACAAATAGAGAAGGAATGAAATGCGATAGTGCAATAATGAAAGGCTACAATAATAAAAAATATTTTTAGCAGTGAGTGATGAAGGTTGCATTTATAGAAAGATAAGGTAAAAAGAAGAAAGAGAACTACTATAATGAAAGCTTATAAGTTCCATGCAACGTAATGATGAAGGTTGCAGCTTATGAAATTACTAAAAAAATTTTAAGGCTCAAATATCATGTTAAGACTTGGAGATAATTGATTGAGTGTTTCATTTTAACATTTGTGTTGTTTTTATGTTGTATTTGGAGAGCTTATGATAAACAATGTACAAAATTAGAGAATAAGACTTACAATATAATTATATGGTCCACAAATTGATGAGCTGGCTAAATAATAATTGCATAATAGTTACTATTGTCCATGAATTAATGAGTAGGTAATTGGGGTCCTGCAAATCAAATGATGTTGCAGCGGAAGAGGAGGGATAATAGTTGAAAATTTTAGTTTTGGATTAATAGATGGATAAACTATTACAATTTATACCCAAGGAAGAGTTATTGGGGTGTGAGCATATAGATTCTAATAGAATAGAGTATGAGAGGATTCATAGTAGCCTATTGGGTATTTAATGATAGATATAAATGTGGAGGGAGAAGCTATGCATGATTTCATGATATCCTATGATCTTGTAATATCAAATGATTACTTCAAACAATGAGAAGCACGCTTAATTACTTTTAAAAGTGGAGTCATTGAATCATAAATATATTTCTTTTTTCTCCTTTAAGGAATTTTTTTTTAAATGTGTGATGCTAAGAGAAAATTTACGCTACAGTAGAGAGTATTAATTATGAACATATATTTATTTACCATAAAAATGATCAAAATGATCTCTCAGAAAAAATAATAGAACTCAAAGATGAGAAATTTTTCAGATTAAATTGAGAGAAGGGGAAAATTTTCTCGTACAAAAAAAACATGATATGAGCCTTGTTGTGCAAGAAGATTTGCTGTTTAGTTTTATATAATCGTAATTGTAGTTCGTGTAGAATTTTCTTATAGTTTATATAGGACAAATTACTTTGTAAATTAATTAGAAACGTTTCAACTTGTTTATGAATGATTTTCTCACACTTCTGATCAATTTTTTATGAGCAGTTTTCAATTTATTTTCTTTTTATGCTATTAAAGGTTATAAAAGTAATAAAAAAATATTGAGCAGGAATGAATGAAATATAAAAATTCTTAAAATTGATTCCAAATTAGAAAGAGGATTTGGAAAATTGACTTGAAATGATAGGATAATGTTAGTGTGGTGTTGATGATAGCTTATTTTAAAACTCTTTGTTTTGCAATAGTGACTTGTTTTCTTCTCTCATACAGTCAGATAAAAGTTTATCTTGAACAAATGGACATGTCTCTGTCTTCATGTGGGGATGATGTGCTTCAGTTTCGCAGATGCCTCACAGCGTCATTCTTCCTCAATGCAGCCGAGAAGCAGCCTGATGGATCATACAGGTATCGAGTTTCTATCATTTTTTAAATAGCTATATTGGAAGAAATTAAAGCCACCCTCTTAAACCTTGTTTTTCTGAAAGCAGCTCTTGGAGCACCCCTAAGACTGAACTGTCATTAATTTATGCCACTTTTAGGTTTCGTTTGGGACATCTTTCTTACTCCTTTATAAAACAATTTTTTATTATAAAAATTGGTTGAACTAAAAATTTTTGCTAAAAATTGCTTTAGAAAATAATAAGAAATTTATTCCAAATGAATTCTTAATCTTCCAACCGATGATGGTTTTAAAAGTCTCACTTTTAAATATCGGATTAAGCTGCTATTTGTCATTCTTTCTTTACAAAATTTTCTTACATTTTATTTAGATATATAACACTTAATTGTATTATTTAATTGCTGCTTAGATCCAAGTCAAATTACAGAGGTTTTGAAAGTTTATGAATAAATAAATTTAAAGAAATTCATACTGAATTTTTTCTGCTCCATTTAAATTGCATTAATTATGATATACTTACTACTATTTGTACATATTAGCCCTGCTAGAAATGAAATTCTTAATAGCCGCATCATTTATGTTCATAAATTTACACTTAAACAGCAATTTAACCATTCCAATTCTAAGTTTGGAGACATTATTCTGTGCGGACGTCAGACGCAACTCTATGTTCGGAGGCGAATCAGGTGCAATCACGTTAGCGGTACTGAGCAGTACTGAGCTACGGTACAGTAAAAGAATGACGTGGTGTATTTTGATTGATTTTTAGATGACGTTCGATATCCGTACATAATAATTTTTCATAAGAGCTTTAAATAGAGATGAGAAAGTAGAAAAACATATCAAACTACAGAAGTTTAAAATATCTGCTTATTCATGCGCATGTACTTTTTGGCAGGGTTAAGGCAAATGGTCAGAACGTGCAGATCCACCCTTCTTCAGTGCTATTTAGAGCAAAGCCTGAGTGCATAATATTTACTGAGTTGATCCAAACTAATCAAATTTATGTTCGCAGTGTTTCTCAGGCATGGATGCCTGAGCTTTCTAAGTATTATGATGCAGAAAGCTAGATTTCTTTCATATATTTATTATCTATTTAATGTGAATGGGGTTTTAGCTGATTGTTGCAGCCATCGAAAACTTAAAAGCCCCTCCAACCCGCCACGCCATTGTGACATTAGCAAATAGGTTCAAATATATAAAAAATTAGCGAAGAATTTTAAGCGCTGTCATTCAAATCATAGGTTTCTAAGAGGTGCAATATTTTCAGAATGATTATATATTAAATTAATTTCATTTTGTTGTTCAAATATTTGTTTTGCTTAAGTGGCTGTTTAGTTGGAATATAAAGTGATATAAAGTATTTTAAATGGGATTTAAAAAATATTGATGTTTAGTTGAAATATAATTTTAATTTATTTTTATGATAAATTTATTTTTATGATAAATCAAACTCGATTAATTTTAAGTGAGATTGATTGCACCAGAAGCAAATATGTTTGACTACTGCCCACCACCGATACTCTCGTTGGCCGTTGGCCATCTATATATATATATAAAATAGTAAAAAACATATACTAAACAAAACTTTAATAGCAATCCCTCCCCATATGGATGTATGTTGAGTACAATAGCTGCTTAAAATTTAAGTTAAAAATATGGATATATGATTATAACAAAGACCCTTGCTATATTCTTCACTTAGACCTTAAGCAAACACCCACTTGTGACTACCAAGTTCTCTAAGGACCAATTAGATAGTGAACATTCTAATACTCAAATCTTCATCCTCAATTTTTATTGCTGACGAGAAATTTTCCCCTCCGATTTTGACACTTCAAGAGCTCATCTTTTGTGCCACCTTTACACTAATTCTAACACAGCACTAGAGCATTCCGGAATACAACCCGAGATGCTCAAGTACATAAAAAAAAATTCAAATACAAAGCACCCGAACCCAACCCCCAACCCAATTTATTAATACTATTTTAACAAGGGAAATAATTTCCTTACCAGGCCTAAGCGATTATATCAAACAACAAAGCAAAGTATAGAGAAAAAAATAACAGCAGCTCAGTAGTGTTAAATGAACGTAGTAGCAACATAAAAGGAGTGCATTAATGTTGCCATCTTGAACAGCTCGAAAGCTTAATCCTATATACAGAAGCAAATAAGCACAACAATCAGAATAAAGGAAATCTATTGTGGAAATAGTGCATCATCATAATATCTTCCCGCTGCGTCAAATCTCTCTTTGCTAAATGTTCTCTTGCTCATGTTCGACCTCTGCACCAGGCGCACTAAAGCTTGGACAACCTCCGACATGGGCGGCCTGAATTCTGGCTCCGACTGCAAAAGAGTTAGATTCAAATTATTTTGTGCAAAATGAAATCTCTACATTTGATAGATTTTTGGATTTAAAAACTTAGGAACAAATTGAATCAAACAAACTCTATCGTTCTCTGAAGCATGTTTATGAATCAATATGCTAGCAAACAAATAGGCCATAAGAAAATAAGTTTGCAAAAAGATATGATATGCATAAAATGGCATGGGGCACATGATTTATGATATGCATGTTTATTTTTAATAATCCAATCTCCCGGTCCCTGCGGAAAGGAAAAAAGAATTTCACGTTCTTCCTTTTGGGAAAGGAGGATTCGAGAAATCCTATTGAGCAATTCCATAAATGATTTCAAATCTAATCAATATTGACAAGTATATTATCTATTGATACAAAGTATTCCGGCGATCCTCACGATCCGAGTCCGAGCTGTTGGAATCGGCAGCGGATCACGAAATCTTGGCGATCTTCTCTATAGGAGTCCGTTTGGAAATCGTCCGCCCTGCGCGCACCCCCCGAGTATAGGATTCAACAGGAATCACACAGGATAAATTGATAGAAACCTCTTCTAAAATACCCACAAGTATCCGTAACCCATAACCATACATAACATAGAAATCACATTTGGAAAGGATGGACAATTAGCTAGAGCAGCAGGTGCTGTAGAGAAACTGATTGCAAAAGAGGGTAAACATTAAGATTACCATATGGGGAGGTCCGTTTGATAACCAAAAAGTGCTTAGCAACAGTCGGACAAGTGGGTAATGTTGGGATGAACCAAAAAAGTTAGAAGTAGAAAATGTTGAGCTGCAAAGATAATAAATTAATAATAGAGCGAGATTATGAGGAAAAAAAATGAGGATGAGATAAGCTAAAAAAAAAAAAGTTTCACAATCAAGTTAAAGTGGCACAAAATGTGTCCAATGCAGTCATAATGTCAAACATGTGGCAGTGTCTTGCCCAATGGACATAGAAGAAGTGTCCAAAAAAAATTTAGAAAATACAAAAGATCATCACATCATCAAAGCGTTTAATGGTCTTAAGCGTCCAGCAGGACATATTCCAAGACACGACAACCCCTAAAGAGGGTGCAGACTTCATAAATATATGATTGTTATAAAGCCTGAGACATAGGAGAATAAGTTGACCATATATTGATATCAATTTCAAAATAGCAAAGAAGTAAACGGTTTAGATTGTTGATAAACTTGTCTGAAACATCAAAGGAAAGAGCAGAAGATGTAAATTATGCATCATTCGCACCTGAACACAAAGAGCAATTACATCAGCAAACCTAGAGAGCGCTTTTGCAGGATAAAGTCCCTCTAGGGATGGGTCAACCATCTTGTCCAGTGCATCAATGTCATGGAGCTGTGGAGCTGCCCATCGTGCCAATGATTGTTCTAATCTTTGTCTCGAGCTGTCAAAAGGCTTTCGACCAGTCATGAGCTCAAGCATTATCACTCCAAAGCTGTACACATCACTTTTCAGAGTATATTGGCCAGACATAGCCACCTCCGGAGCACTATATCCAGAAGCCATACTGTGATCAAGTGCCTGCACAATTGGTGAGGAGGTCAATACTGCCAATATTACAATCTAATTACTAATTTCACAAATTCAATCAAACTTGGTTATTACATGAAATAGTAACTAGTTTCTTCACTTAACTAATTGAATTTGGTTATTATTATCATTATTACTACAACTACTATTATTAAAAAAAAAAAAGTTACACGTTTTCGAAGTGCATTGTGCAAATGCATAGACAAGACATGTATATGTATCGATGAGCATGCAAGCACATTGAAGATCATGTAAATATACAAATGCATCATAAAATGTGCAAATAAGCTTTGCAAATGCATCAAAAAGTGTGCAAAACATACTCGTTCACCTAAAATGATTATATGTGTATGTGCTCGAATGAATGTGTTAAATGCTTGAGCTTAACGTCTAAGAATGTTGCGCGGACCAAAAATAAGTGAAACTTCAATTTAATTCTCTCAAGTATCATACAACTATTTTTTGAAAAACATGTAATCACTTGAAATTTTTGTAAAGTCTCCCTTTCAAATTAAAATTTATCAACATTATGCATGATGGTATTGACCAGGCAACTTTGTCTTAAGGTAGGGTCGGAAGACCAACATTTCAAATTTGATCCTCTTCTTTGCAAGATTGGAGTTGACAAGACCTAAACCAAATGGCACATCTATATATAAAATCTAAAATCCACAAAAATCTTCTATTCACATAAAGTTTTTTGTGAAAAAAACATATATCTAAGACACCTCACTTTTAATATAATCCATAATCAATACAAATAAGATATACAATTGTCGCTCCTTGATGTGGCTCTATAAATTAGAAATTAAAATTGGAAGTTTTTTTATCATAGTGCAACTATTTTTAGTACTAGTCAAAGCTCTATCATTCATTTCTTTAATAATTTACAAGCATTTCACACACATATTTTTACTTAATGCTCAACCAAAATTCTAATGATTTTAAATCACGAGTCTTCTTGTTGATAAGACTAGAGAGGGAATTGAAGATAAACTTGAATTATGGAGGTCAACCTTAGAGTTTAAAGGTTTTCGTTTGAGTAGATATAAAACTGTATATATGTAGTGTAATTTTAGTAGTAATAGACTTAGTGAGGGGATTGTGACTTTGGGTGATCAAGTCATTAATAAGAGTACCCGTTTTAGATATCTTGGATCTATTGTTCAGAGTGATGGTGAAATATATGAGGATATTATTAGCAAAATTCAAGTTGGATGGTCGAAGTGGAGAAATGCATCGGGCTTGTTGTGTGATAGAAAAGTCCCCCTCAAATTAAGGGAAAATTTTATAAGACGGTGGTGAGACCTACAATGCTTTATGGTGTCTAATGTTGGCCATTAAAAGAGAAGCATAATGCTAAGTTAAGTATTGTAGAGATGAGGATGCTCGTGTGGATGAGTGGCTTTACTCTTAGAGATACGATATGAAATGAGCATATTTGTGAAAAGTTGGAGTAACTCCAGTGGAAGATAAGATTAGAGAGAGTAACCTTAGCTTGTTTGGTCATATAAAACGGCGGCCTTCAGATGGCCCGATTAGAAAAGTGGAGGTATTAGATTTAACTTATGTTAAGAAAGATAGAGGTAGACCTAAAAAGACTTGGTTAGAGAATATTAGAAATGATCTTTCCTTAGTAGATTTAAACAAGAATTTGACTTTTAACAGAACACACTGGAGAAAAAGGATTCATGTAGTTGACCCACGTAGTTGACAAAGACTTGATGTTGTTGTTGTTGTAGTAGTTTTCTCAAAATTAATAAAAACATATGGAGATCATGCCCATAATTCGATAATGTAAAAATGCAGGCCAAAATGAATAGTAGCAGCATGCAACTATTAATTCCTTAAGCAACATTTACCATAAGAATTAATCCACAAAGTTCAAGGGAAATTCCAAGGTTATGTATGTTTAAATAAAAAATTTGAAAAATGAATTCAAAATATTTTTTAGTGAAACAATGAACAAAGGTCCCAAGTTACCTGATATTCCAAAGTAGGGACAATACTTGACAATCCACAATCTGAAAGGTGAGGATTAAGCTCCCCATCAAGTAAAACATTGGCTGATTTAAGATTTTTATGGAGAATTGACGGTGAGCAAACTTCATGCAGGTACCTGAAATCATCTCAAGCATGAAAAACTAATTTAGGCAAAATAGTGAGGTATCATTGCATTCATCTTTATGCAGAGCATATTGTAGCCTCTTAAATAATAATATAAATCATCTCATCAAGCTAATTGCATCTGATATAAGTGATTTAAAGCTAATTATATTCCTTTATTTTTTATATTAACTGTTATTAATTAATATAATTAATAATAGCCAATGGTTTCTTAATTAAAGTTATTTCACTTACTTTTAGATTATGGGCATAGATAATAATTATGCTGACTATAATAGTTTGGTTAACAAATCTTTTAAATAGGATTTTAAATTGGTTAACAAAAGAGAAGTTCAACAAAAGATAATTCATAATTATGCTGACCATAAAGGCATGAAATGTATGAACCATAAAATTAAGTTAGGGGAGAACTTTGAAGTATCAGAGGATATCGAATGATTAGAAAAAAAAAACATTTTGGAGCCACTATTTAAGGACAAAGGAGACATTCAAATTTGTGTTTGATTATAGATGAACCAAACATATGAATCATACAACGAAACTAGACCTGTCAATTTCGGGTTACGGGTCGGGTTCGGGTCAACCCAGTAGAGTCATAATAAAACATAGACTTAATGATTTTATGTGGAAAAAAATTACTATGAGAGCGATTTTCTGTTAAGATAACTAATGGGAAAATATAAAGAGCAAGGCAAATCTCCCTATAATTTTGATTGATCTTGAGAAGGCATATTTTTGAGCATCATGAGAATTGATTTAATGAACATTACGGAAAAAAAAAACGAGTCTCATATATACTAAAATTATTGAACATGTGTATGATACAGTATAGCCCAAACCGGCCCAGGAGGGGCCGGTTCAGACATATAGGAGGCAGGCTAAGCCGCCTCCTTTAGAGGCCACTGCCTAAACAAGTGGGACCCTCTTTTGGGCGGCAATGAGAGAGAGAGAGAGGGTGGTTTATGCATGAGGAGGCTAATTTAAATTTATTTTATATTAGGATGCTTTTATTAGGAGGTGGGGTATTTAAAAGCATGAGAAGGCAAGGTTAGGGTTTATGTTTTGATTATTGTTTCTCTTGGAGTTCTCTTGGCGGCTTTGGGCTCTAGATTTATCATCTAGAGATTGGGAGAGAACGATCCTCCTCTCGAATTGAGGATCGATTGTTTAGTTTTATTTTCTATAATACAATCTACTATTTTTTATTGTTTTCATTGGAGATCTTGAAGTTTTCTCGCTGTTTGTTAGAGTTGCTTGTGAACTCAAATATTTCCTGTTAGGGTTACTTGCGAACTCAAGTATTTCCTATCAGTGTACGTTAAACCTTGTTGTTTGTGAATAGGAAATATAGTGATAAAATATCATTTAATGTATTATCTATTTTGAATTGTAAAGCAATTAAATAATATAAGGTGAGGGAAGGTATGTAGAAACATCTAACTATGTTTCAAAAAACAGAAAATCTAACTTACTCCAATGCACGTGCAGTACCAAGAGCAATTTTAACACGGTTTGCCCAACTCAGTGGATTGCTATATTCATCCAAGTGGTGAAGGACATCATGTAGAGAGCCATTCTTGTGGAATTCATATATCAGCAAGTGTTGTCCATGCTCAGAACAATAACCTACCAACTCTGTCACATTAGGATGGTGTAATCGTGAAATAATTGAAACCACCTCCAAGAATTCATCAGAGGATTGGCTGGGCAGAGCTGATGAGTTAATCTTCTTCACAGCTAGAACCTTAAAGAACAGACAACAAATTGAAAGTTACAACTATTTCAAAACATTAAAATGTCATTCTTCTTTCACAAAATGTCACTGCTAGCTGATATTGCAATAAGTTGCATTCGTGTAAATTGAGATAACGAATAGAATGGTCCCCTGAATCTTTACAAAGGATCAAAATGATTCCCGACTATTTAAAAGTCTCACTTTAATCCCTTAATTTTTCAAGTAGGAACCTAAACGATCTCACAAAATTTCTAATTTGATCCCTATTTAAAGAGAGCCAAGAGGTCAAATTGATACTTTTATATATAGTTGAGGACAATTTTGATCCTTCAAAAAAATTTGGGGACTAATATGCGGTCCTTTGCGATGTAAAGTCCATTTCTTGATGGCTCTATATTGTATTCTTCTTTTCATTTTGTTTAAGTAAAGATATCCATATCCACATGGGCGGAACCATTAAGTGCCTAGGGGAGCAATTGCCCCCCCTAAAAAAATTAAAAATTTGCTTATTATATGAATTTTTAGGTAATTTATCCCTTTACATCTTTTTTTTACTCTTTATTATAGTAATCTTAAGGCTGGTTCCGCCCCTGCATATCCATGAGTGCAAATTTTATGGGATGCAGACAAATGGCATAACTGCTCATCTTCACTGAACAAATAACTTGCCAGAATAAGAAAATGTATTGAAATATACTAAATAAAGAAAAAATAGTCCATACCTTTCCATCATTTACTTGTGCTCGATAGACACGTCCAATAGACCCCTCGCCAATTAGGTTGTCAATGCTAAAGCTTCCTGTGGCAATCTGTAGGTCTGCTACTGAGTAAGACAAAGCTTTAATGGGAGCAACAATTGCTTTCTTCTTGGTAGACTGGTTGGAGAGATCATCATCACTATCAAATGACTTTTTCTGCGCAATTGGAGGAGGTTTAAGGTAAATTGGATCAGCTGAGTGCAATATTTCTGCATTTATTGACTCGGATGGGTGGTTGGGTATCATCTCTGTAACATAAAATTCATTGAATGAAAATTAAAACATGATCTTGTAAAAGTTAAACAATCCATAAATCTGAGCAGGAAATTAAAAAAAAGTTAACACAAATGGCTTACGTTTGACTTCTTTAGATGGGAGAGCATAACTGCGCTCCAGTTCAATCTTCTCTTCACTTGAAGAATTTCTAGTTTTTCTCTTCACCAAGAAGAAGGCCATCATTGCACCAATAATTAAAATAACTACAACAATTGCTGCTATGAACCCACCTCCTAAACCTGAACTTTTCCCATAAGTAACACCATCAGGTAGGCTGTTACCACCACCAGATCTTTGGCCAGGGTGAGTTCGCCGGGATGGTGGAGGTGTATAAGGTGGCGGTGGAGGTGCAGGCCCCGCACTCCATGAGTTACCATAGATCCTGTAGAAACAAATTAACAAAGCCATTTCTCTAGTATAGCAGATACAGAATGAATGGTTTTCTCCTCAACGAGTACTCACTGAAGACTGTTAATGCCCTTCAGCTGGTCAGGAATCCATCCGGAGAAATGATTATTAGCAACATTTCTAAGAGAGTGGAGGCAAAATATTAGAAGCCATATGTGGATAATTTAAATCAAAATTATGAAAGATACTGTTCCTTGCATGAAGTTGAAACTGTTCACTCACAGATCTTCGAGGTGAACATTGGCAATGACATCTATGGTACCTGTAAACTGGTTGTTTTGTACATGTCTGCAGGGTGACCAAAGATTAGTTGATATGAGTTTCATACAAAATATAAAATCAAGATATAAGATTTAGTCCATCTGCCTTACAAGATCTTTAAACTTGATAGATTGCTAAAACTCTCTGGAAGACCACCCGTGAATGAATTAAATGACAGGTCCCTGACAACATGCACGATCATCTCTCAAGCACTTGAAACTACATACATACTTATATTTAGATAAACATATATACACATACTGAAAAAATACATTCATTGTTTTATCTTGCAAACTACATGCCACAAAAATAACAAGATTAAGGCCTCGTTTGGGACGGCTTTCTTGCCGCTTCTTAAAGCAACTTTGTAGAACAAAAATTTTAATTTTTGTATTAAAAAGCCGCTTGAAGAAGCAGTAAGAAAGCCGTCCCAAACGAAGCCTAAAACTACAAAAAAAATTTGAACTGAAGATTACTGAGGAAAATTGAGAAAGGTTCTAATTTGGAAGATGACTATTCTAAGGCTAGCTATTATTTGGTATAAAGATCTGATTTTCCTGCAAGTAGGCCTACTAGCAGTAGTAGAGGTAACTAAGCATTTACACCTTGCGCTTCGCGTCTAGCTGCGTATTAAATATTGATACAATCATCATGTGAAAACTTACAGTGTGGTGAGGTTGGAAAGTTTAACAAACATGTCATCCAAACTTCCATGTAGTTGATTGTGATTAAGTTCTCTATACAAAAAGATTGCCAATAGCATTGCTTGGTTAGTTTTGCTAAAAAAAGGGACGAAAAAATGAGGCATCATGTACTAGCTAAGACTGCTTACAAATACTTAAGAGAAACCATGAGGGAAATAGAATAGGGGATCCCTCCATTAAATGTATTACCAGAAAGGCTTCTGCAGGTTTTTACAGCAAAATATACATTAGTATATCAGGCTCAGAAGAACAGTAATCTGTAGAGAACAACAGCAGCAATTTCACTTACAGTCTCTGCAAATTTGGAGGAAGATCATATGGTATCAGGCCTCCACCACCAAGATTATTATTGCTCACATCACTTTACGAAATTCACCATATCAAACGATCAACATAAGAATTAAACAAAGAAGATTAAAATAGCAAGTTCTGGTACAGAATACTGGAGTGGAAAAATACACACAGCTCTATCAATGAGATCATAGTGTTCAACGAGTAGCCCAACGCCCCAGAAATTTGCATGCCTGGTAGTTTGCTGGTATGATGAAGAAGGTAATCCATATAAGAAATATCAAAATCAAATCAAACAAAAATTTTCTCATACTGATCTTATAGCTTAATTAACAAATATCGCTCACATTTCTGTAACTGCTGTACCCGAGCATGTAATCCCTTTCCAGACCTGCCCACAGGGATCACCACCATTTGCAGTCCAGCCAGTAAGTTGAGGAGCCGAATTCATGCTAACATACAAGGCATTGAGAGCCGATACTGCCCACGGAAAATTATTTTATTGTTAATGATGAATAAAAGCACTAAGCAACATATGTGTGCTCCCTCTGGTTTTAAAGAAAACGTTTCAAGCTTATAGGCTTTACTTTCTTTTTGGGAAAAATCATAACCTACTATACTAATGAACAAACATGTCATTCTTTTTCCACTAAAAATCAACCCTTATTAGGAAAAGTCAAACATTCATGCAAATCTTCTTGCTCGAAATAAGAAGCCAACCAGTTCCGAGTAGCTTGGAGAGCAAAACCAAGCAGAAAGGGAAATCATAAAAAAAACCCACAAAGAACAATGAAGATGCATGTGGCATTCCAGTTTAAAACCAGGCTTCATACTTCTCTAACAGGATCAATAAATCAAAAGAAAAAAAGATGATAACAAGCAAGAAGATGCAAAGCTCTTGATGGTCTCACCATCCGCTGGGTCGGTGAAGCCATTAGCCAAGACCAGAGTCCAAAACCAAATGCAGACCGGCAAAACCCATAGCCGCATCATTTCCTTCTCCTTCCTTCTCCCTCGTCTCATCTTTCTCCCTGCCACAAAACTTCCTAGCTTATAGACTAAAAGATGCCACTAATATTTCAATGAAGTGTTGCAGTAGAATACAAAAAACGCTCCTTTTTACTCACACATTAGTACATTACTGTCCCATGCTACTCCCGAGAAATTTTAGAGCGCTGCCACAGAACATTGAAGACTGAGCTGGCGTGGTTATTGAGAATAATGCAAAAATTATTTAAGCCACGAGTACGACGCTCCTTTTTCAGGTATTTCTTCAGAAAAGAGTAGTAGCGTGACACACAACTCTCTTTGGCCTATTGGTTGAAAGCTAAGGCTTCCAACTAAGAGGTCTAAGGTTCGAGTCTCTGTGTATGCGTTGTGTGTGTGAGTTTGCCTTAAATGGCCTAAATGTCCCAAAAAAAATAGTAGCGTGACCTGTCAGAAAGGACGACAGAAAAAGACGGATAATTGCTGGGGTGGCTGATTGCGGGAATTGCGGTAGCCGGACTCCGCTCGGCCGGTCGTGGACCGTCGGATTTTAATTCATGTTTCCCCGCTTAGGGCTAGTTTGCTAGGTAACCGTATTAATGCCCGGTAATTTTTATTTGGAAAATTTTGTGAGCCTTAAATTTAGTACATATGATTGTTTCAAATTTTTAGAAATAAATTTACAAATCTTATCAACCATTATTTAATATTGATAAAAGTAACTAAATTTCAAAATACCAAAGTAAAATAGCAAAATACTGAATAGTAACAAAATCAGCGGTTGACAGATGCCAAAACCAAACGGGAAAAAAAAAAGAGAGGGAATATTTTTAAAAATAAATTTAATGATTTTGAATTCTATTATGATAAATAATTTAATTAAAGTATCAGAGGGAATATTTTTTTCAATTAGAGATGTGATAAGCCTTGGCAATGCTTTATATAAAATAAAAAATGGGATTGAGTTTCAATTTATTTGAGTCAATCAAAATGACACTAAGATTTTTTTTTGAACGAGATATTCATCCGCTATCATCTTTAAAAGGGTGTTTGACGGTGTGACTAATCCTCGTCGGGCCTAGAAGAGACAGCCACCCTAAAAATCTCCTGGCCCGCACTTGATTGGGCCCCACTTAAAAAGATATTATTATGTGCTGATATTTGGACGGAGAGAACCTTCCGATTTTTCTCTTCGTCTACAGTAAAAACATAGTCAAAGCGCTTTTATTGTACCAACTGCCATTTGACTGTAGTTTTTACTATAGACAAAGAGAAAACCGGATGATTCTCTCCGTTTGATGTCCGCACATAATAAAAAGTCCCACTTAATAGGTGGGGCCGCTCGAGTAGAAACGAGCACGGGTTAGGGGATTCTTAGCCGTACTCTTCCACCAACAAAACCAAACAATAGTGATTAGATTACATAAATTTTAATTGACAATGTATTGATTAATCCATCAAAATAAACTAAAATGTACTTCTATTGTTTATTGAGTTATTTAAGAACTAAAGCTTGACAGGCGCACTCTTTTAGGCTTCCAGCGAAATGGATACTGTGCATACTTTGAATGTTCCTGCCTTTGGTTAGACCCTTAGGGCTAACTCAGCAGCTCATCATTATCACAAAGGATTAATTTATCGCCCAACGATTAGAATGAATTATAAAATTCATTCAATTAAATTGTTATTATTTCAATTATGTTATAAAAAATATTTAAACTAACAAAATTTAACAGTTTTAGATAAAATCATAAAATACATATATAATAGCGTAAAAAAGTTTTTTTTTTTAATTTAGTAAGAAATAAAATTATGTTTAAAAATAATAAAAATACAGACATACAGAAATATAGCAATTATCAAAAATATAAAATTATTAAAATTGCTCTTTCGAAGCGTCGGGTCGGGGAAGGGAATATGTTCGTCAGTTCATGGTGATACGTAACCTTAAATTAATTTTCATGAGATAATAATATTATCAGGACGCTCATAACTTTTGAAATAATTGTTTGATAAACTTAATTTAATTATTTTTTATAAAAAATTAATGAAATTTAATAATAATAATAATAATAATAATAAATTTTATTATTATTATTTTATAATTTAACTTTAAAATTTTGTCAAAAGATTAGATAAAAAAATATTTACGTTTAAACTTATTATTCTTGTCACGTTAACTTTATGACATAATTTATAATAATTATTATTGTGATTATTTTGTTTTAAAAATATTAATAAAAAAATCACAAATTTCATATAAAATATGAGAATTAAATTCAGATTTTTAAAAAATAATATAAATACTTAAGCCACAAATCCTTTAATAAATATTTCTTTTTTTTAATATTTATGATATTTTAACATAGATTAGATTAAAATAGATTTGAATCTCATTGGATTTATATTTATTATGGAAGTAAAACCATGCAAAAAAAAAAAGAATTAAAAAAAAAAATTGCAGCGAAAAGAAAAAAAAAACATCATGAGTTAATGTGAAAATATTCGAAATCAGGTAAAAACTATAAAGCCACACACCACCAAGAAATTCATTATTAAAATTGAGAGAAATTATACATATCTCTCTTCTCTCTCATTCTCTTATTGTTTCTTTTCACTCTTTTACGATTCTCATACTAAAACAAACAAGGGGAAAAATATTAAAAGTTTTAAAATCATTATGGCACACACCCTCATAAAATTTATAAAAAAAAAAACAGCCCTAGCCAGCCTCCGCAATCCCCATGTTTATGAACGTCATTACGCTTCTCGTCTATCTCAAGTTGTCTTATGTCGTGCAACATATGGGTATCTAGAAGCTCTATATATGAATTCCTCCTTTGTCCTTCGTATGAGTAACTAGTGCTACCAAATTCTGCTTCCAACCCAATATATTCAGTTAGTAGGATTGTATGGTTCTTACCGAAAAAAAAAAACTTAGGATGAAAAAATGTCTGCTGATCCCAAAGCAGGAGATGACCTCTTAAATAGCCTTGTGAGCAAAACTAATGGAATGAAGTATAAGTAACAGATCAACTGATTGATCCACAAGAATTAGATCCATATATATATATATATATTATATATATATATTATGATATTATATAATTATATATATATATATATATAATATATAGTATATATATAATTTTATGAATTGTATTAATTTCATAATATTTAATTTATTTTATTATTGTATTCTTTTCAGTGCTTTTTAAATTAATTTAATTATATACCGTATTTTATTTAAAATTTCACCCTTGACGAGTCAACTTCTTATGGCGGTCAACGACCCTAAATTCTCTCCTCCCTCGCCCCATCAGCTACGCTGCGTCTCTTCCATCTAATTCCAGCTTGTAGGTTTTGCTTGTATCATCTCTCCACCATATAATGCTTGTATCATCATATAAGGCATCCACATCTTGTTTCATCGTCTCAAGTTTCTATTTTCTACAATCTTCAAAACCCTGATCGCAAACTCCGAATTTGTGCGTTGCTCGGTTACCAAACTAAGATTTTGGTTTTCACTTTTCACAATACTCGGATCTCAGATGCGAAGGGGCTAAACGTGATGGGAAACTCAGATTTATCTCCCAGCTCAGTGATGACTGTCAAGATAACCGGAAGGGTCCTGACAGCTATAGTGATACTTCTCTTTCTAATGCTGATCGTCGTCGTCTTCCTTTATGTCTATGCGAGGAATACTTGGATCCCACGAATCGTCGGTCATGGCCGGGCCCATTTCAGCATCACCGCCGGTGATGCCCCAATTCCCCCAGTTCCCAGACAAGGCCTTGAATCTGAGGCTCTCCGCTCTCTTCCGGTTTCCGTATTCCGGCGAAGTGATTTCAAGGACGGAATTGAATGCTCTGTTTGTCTTACCGAGCTCTCGGAAGGAGAGAAGGTTCGGTTGCTTCCAAAATGCAAGCATGGATTCCACCTTGATTGCATTGATATGTGGCTGCATTCTCACTTTACGTGTCCCATTTGCCGGTGCCCGGTAGGCCCGGTTGCAGCTGCAGCCGGCGAAGTTTCTCTCGCGACTGCGGGTGAACGGATCTCATCGGAATTGCCTGCTCTTCCCATCAATGTGCTGATTTGGAGAAATAACGGTCGATTTAGCACAAGGGGGTTGGCACATTCTCATAGGAGTCTGGTGATAACAATACCAAATCAATTTGCGGATGGGTTGCCCTCGCCGATCTCACCATTGGAATCGAACAGGTCTTCTGGGCACAACTTCAAGTCGCCGGTGGAGGAGGTAAGATCACCAGGAACGTCAAAGTTTGGATCTTTAAGCAGGATTTTGAGCAGGGGAAAGAGGATTGGTGGTTCTTCATGCAGCAGTCCCGTCGAAGGTGATATCGAGCAAGGATTGGTGAGATGTGGAGTAGTAAAGGGAGAGGGAACCTCCAATGTTCCCAAAACTCCTATAAGCACTTAATGGCCAGCAATTGATTTAGACTGAAATTTGTAAGCTCGGTTTCATGTTCCCAGGGGTTTCTTGCTCATTAACAAGATAGCTTCCTTTACCGTGCTCTGTTGATGGGAGGAAGCAAAATGTAATGTTTTTTTTTAAATCTATTTCATACATATCATATAATACTATTGTATTTATATATATAACATTTAATTTTTTTTTTTTATTTAACACCTAAGAACGTCACTTACTTACATTAGAAACATGTATATATTTTTAGTGGCCCACATTGAGTAATTTTTTTTTTTGACAAATAAAAAATACAAAGTTATTACAACCTCAAAAAGAAAGGAGCTAAAAATAAAATATTATGAAGGTTGCAAGAATAACGAAAAAACTGTGAAGAATGTGACAAAGTCATTCGGACTCAGGAAATGGCATGAGGCTTCATGCAACCACCCAGACGCCAGACAATGATCATCCATTAGAGGCACCAAGCCACAAAGCAAACAGATGATAACCACAAATGAAACAAGCATCATCACACATGCCAAACAAAGCCCACCAATCAGTAGAAGAAAATGAACTGCCAAGGTTGCCAGCAAGCCAAGGCCAACTAGGGGGGTGTGCAGAAAGCAACATCATCATTGTTCGGATCACAAAAAGAAGGCACAAAACCGAGTAGCATAGCAGCTAGAATAGGCAAAAAATTGAAGAGGAGATCCAATCATAAGAACTACTTTTTAAATTTTGTTGTACGAAGCCAACAACATCAAACAAAGCCAATAAACACAACAAGTTATTTCTTTTTGGACTTTCTCCTAGACCATTACCCACCACCACGAGAAAATACTATTTCCACGATTCGACTCACATTCAAACTATACATTGTATGAAAGTCATCCACATGGTCTTCCAAATCATCCCTAGCGACCCCACAAAGCGGGGAAACATACCCATCTAGTCAATCGGAATGTTCAAAACAATTATCCTTATTGAAGGATAATTGCGCTTTTAAGGCCTCATTAGAAATAATAGAAATTGAAACCTCAATAAAAGGAACAGTTATTAGGTCCGGTGACTGGACGTAGCTCTACGTTCGGTCACCACTGAGATCGCGCCACGTGCTCTTACTCTTTACCGTGCGGCCCGACGACTTAACCCGGAACTGAACACGGGAATGCTATGTTCGCGTATTGCTATGTATTACTCGATATTTGCTCAATATTGCTAGGTATTGTTTGGCAATATTGAGAAATACCGCTCTGTGAAGACCAATACTGAGCAATACCGAGTAATACCGAGTTTTCTAGTAGTATTGCTCGGTATTACTCGGTATTTTCTCGGTATTGCTCGGTATTTGTCTTCACATAATGGTATTTTTCGTTATTGCTGAGCAAAATCGATAAATACCTAGTAATACCGAGCAATACCTAGTAATACCGGGTTGTCATGGATTTAAAAAAAGCACGTGCGACATACCCACTATTCGTCGGGTCGGGTCCGCAATTTTGTGCCTGCTACGTGGCGCGTTCTCAACACTCGCCGAATGTAGCTCTACGTCCGGTCACCGAACCAAATAAAAGTTCCAATAAAAGGGTGTTGATCCACTACAAAAAATAATGGCTATTAGGGCACCTTAAAGTGCCATAATAAGTATCTATTAGGGCACATTATATATTGGGGCATGAAACATTGGTGTCTTTTAGGTGGCCGTTGGCATAGAGTTAAGGGCATCTTTTTGTGCCCTAAAAACTAAACTTTTATGACATATAATTTTGATGGCATAATCTCTTTACCAACACGTATATGGCGCCCTAATAGATAAGCTTTTATAACACCTTCTTATGATGGAATTTATGAATAGATACAACAAATATTATGTGTTATAATACATTAACTTTCCTAACACATTTATTTGATGGATTATGTTTAATAATATGGCATATTTAGGTTGCCCTAAAATATATGATTTCCCAACACTTAAATTCAATGAAATAATTTTAATAAAATGACATTATTATGTGCCTCAACATATGCTATATCTAATATAAATTATATTCAATTATTAATTAATTATCCATACTCATAATATTTCAATTCCAAAGAATTAATCTCCAATCAAATTTTTAAAATCTCATGTACATATGAGAGCTTACATAAGATATTTTTCAAATAAAAAATTTATTTCATAAATATAAAATTACAAGAATTTTTCACCTTAAATACAATAGAAATTCTATTTCAATAATCATATGCGTATATAATCAATATATATATATATTAGAATATAATAGAAAGGGAGATATATGTATGCATATTCTTAGTTTTCATGGTTTTTGATCTATGTATTTCTTTTTCTTATTGTTTTATTTTTAATTTTTGCTATCACGTCAAATTGGTATCACAATCTTCTAGTTGGGCTAATGGAAGAAAACAGTAGATGACTGGCTCACGATAATGATTGGAGTTTGGATGCTTTGTGGACAGCACAAGTCAATCTCACACGACATGTTGAGGAAGTCATCACGGTATTTTTTTTCAAGAGTAAGGGTAGAAAGGAGGCTTCAGATTCTCTAGACAAAGATCTACCACATCATTATGACTTATGAGGTTAGGAGGCCACCCGCGACACCAAGGAGAGTTTCGTGTTAAACTTGATATACCGATTTTTGTTCTTGCTGTTATAGTATTTGCAACCATGCAAGAATTTCAGAACATTTATTTTTAGGAGCTTGATGTATGCATGTATTTGAAGCTAAGAAGAACATCCCAAATGATATATATAAAGGTTCATCGTATTTCTTTTGAGAGATGAGTACCACGTCCGACCAAATTCTATTAATTCCTGAAAATTACATTATAGAGTTTGTGAAATCGCTTAAAGCCTAAAAAATTACCAAAACACGAAAATGAGAACTCCTGAAGAAATGATATGAAAGTAACAAAAGCAAAAATTTCCGTCCATACGCGCTGCAATTTGGCATAGAACCATCATCCGATTCAGTATGTTGATCTCAATGGAATTTCTTTTGACAGTACATTTGTCTTGTTGCAATGGTTTAGCCTCACCGTCTAAGGCGATTTCTTAAGGGTCACCCTTGTTTTGCTTAAGCTTCACGTTTTTTGTGTGTTGCAATTGTACGAATTAAGGCCAAGATATTGAATTTATTATTTAATAAGGCTTCGTCTGGTTATTCGGTATTTTTGTAAAAAGATAGTTTTAAGAAACATCGATTTAGAAAAGAAGTTTTCTAACGAAGAAGCATATATAAAAAGCTTTCTTAAAACAATAGAAAAATAAAAAAATGGTGTTATTGCCTTATTGGAAATGTGATTTGAGGGATCAAACAGTAAAGAAGAAATAAATTTACTATTTTAAAAAATAATAAGCACAAAAAACATCCAATCAAACTAGGCCTAAGTTTGATTTATTGGTAGGAGACTTTGTCATCTAATCAATAGGTCTTGAATTTGAAGTTCACTTATATGCACTAGTGCAACACTACTAAAAATATATGATTTTCGCCGCAGTTTTAGTACCGGTTTTAAAACCGCTGCTATAGATTAATATAGACAACAGTTTTAACCGCTACAAAAAATTTATGAAAAATTTAATATTTTAGCATTGATTTATGTAGAGGTGGTTTGCCAACCGTTGCCACCATGCTTTCAATTCAAAATTACTGCTAATGTGCCTGTTCTCCTTATCTCCCTGGCGTGCCTTAGCTCCCGCTCGATTTTTTCCCGCGTCCCTCTCCCAGAAGGCCAAATGATCTCATTGCAACCGTTCCCAAGGTAAGCATTCGATCCCACTTCCATTGTTCTTTTTCTCAACGCACTGATTTTCATGCTGCCTATTTTTATAAGCGATTGGTAATTCATGATTACTTCAACTCCGATAAAGGAAAAGAAGATCCGATGGTGATCTCATCTTCTACTAGGGTTTCAGAGATGAAACTGGTGGTAGGAGGCCGCACCATCCTGTCTTTCGTGCCGAGAAATGCGATTTCAAGCTCTATAGTTAATTAGCTCCGGTCCCAAAGGATTCTTTCTTGGAAAAAATTATTACGTGCGGGTCCGGATTTTTTCAGAGACAAATAAAAATGCACCACGTCCCCCAAAAAAATGTACGACGCTCGGACTCGGTACCGCTCGGTACTTGAGCGCGAAACCGGACGGTTCTCCCATCCGGTGTGATGCCCCAAGATCTAACTTGGAAGAATTATTCAGTCGATTCTTAAAGTAAATCTTCTACCAGAGCTATCTATAGTCATAAATCAGTGATAAACAGTCTAACAAAATTCTATAATTTAAATCATCGTGGAAACTTTTCTATTCATTTCCAAAAGTTCATTTACAATACTGAGGATCTACACATTAATCACATGTAATCCATCATGTCCTGAGTACAAAAAGAATCACTATAACAAAAGGACAAAAACCTGAAGATTCCTGATCAACCTCAATCTTCTGCTTTCTTGCCTTGATCTGAAAATATTAACCATATATAATGAGCTTTAAAAAGCCCAGCAGCTCATCAAATACTTACAACTGAAATCAAAGCACGGTACTGAAATAATATGCATGCCAATCAATCAAATCAATAACAGTCACTTGAATATGATCATTGAATCTATGCAGATATGAAAATCAGTAATCAATGCATAATCAATAAAATCCACAGTCATCGGTAGAAGAATCGGTAAACAGTAGAAAATCCATAATGCTCAATAAATCAATACATACGTTAATTCCATCATATCTGAAAACATCGGTCAAATCCATAGAGAAAAAGCATCGTAAGAACAGTTAAAATTGAATTAATGCAGTAAATGCGTATTCTATATCATGTGCTCGGTGTATCACTTGTAGCAGATCAATATTCGGTGTATCAATGAATCAATGGTATCAATAAATCTATAATATCGATGAATCAATAATATCAGTGCCAGTAGTATCAATGAAATAATGCAATATTAATATCCATATCAGTGACATATACAATATGCAGTATCAATGAAATATTAATCGTACAGTAATTGTAAACCCGTAAATCCGTCGGTAAATCCAT